CCATCCCCAGCCACAGATTTCACCGGCTTCGTTGGGCTCGATGAGGCTGCGGAGAGGCCGGAACGTCGCGGTCACACCACAGAGCGGGGGTGGGGGCTGGTTTGTGCCTCGTTTTCCCCCGCGCTGGGGTTTCAGTGCGTGTCATTCCCGCCCGGACACCGTAATTTCTGGGTTGTCGCCTCTGCCTGCCCCGTGCTCCGTCAGTGGGATGGGATTGCCGGGGCTCTTCCTCATGCTGACAAGATTCCGGTGGAAGCTGGGGCTGTTTTTTAAACATCCAAGTTTATTCCCATCTGGATACGCTCCATTTTGCTTCCCTGGAAGCCACCAGCTCCATCTGCAGCAGGGCAGTGGCCGTATCCCTCCCCGTGGAAGGGGCCCTACTGGCACGCGCCGTGGTTTTGTCCGTTGTGACGGACCTTCTCCAGTCCCTCCCGTGCTGTGCCGGGGAGAAAAACTGGATTCGCTCAGGCAGGATAAGACAGGGCTTGGAGCAGAGATCCTGATCCCGGCGGGCACGGAAGCGCCCTCGCCTCCATTGTCTTCCACTTTTTCCCCAGTGCGCAAACTGGCCCCCAACGAATTCCCCCACAAACTCTACGTGCAGAACTACACCTCGGCGGTGCCGGGGACGTGCCTGACCATCCGGAAATGGCTCTTCACTACGGAGGAGGAGGTTCTCCTCAACGACAACGACCTGGCAGTCACCTACTTCTTCCATCAGGTGGGTGCCCGGGGGCTGTAATCGCACTCACCGAGGTTGGAAAAGACCTTTTAAGACCATCAAGTAAATCCCAGTCCGGCCCTTTTGGACTGGAGTTGAGGGAAGACGCGATACCGGCTCCCAGAACCGCTGCGTGCGGCTGGCGAGGATGTCTGGGAACGCCAGGAAACGGGCTTCTCCTGGAGAAAAGGAGCCTGAAGGCGAACGCAGGATGCCAGGAGGTGTTGTTTCCAGAGCTGTCCCCTTGCTGAGGGACGCTCCGTACGTCCTCCTCGCTCCCCGGGGCAACCAGAGGCCTGTGGCAGGAGTTGGGGAGTGTAGAGAACCCCCTCACCGGGAACTCTGAGCTGGGAATTTGGGCGGCTGTTCCAGGCAGCCTCGGAGCCGGCAAAGAGACCTTCCGGCCTGACCCTCCTGGGTTTGCTTTCCCTGTTTTAGGCTGTTGATGATGTCAAAAAAGGCTACATCAAAGCAGAGGAGAAGTCCTACCAGTTACAGAAGCTGTGTGAGCAGAGGAAGATGGTCATGGTGAGTTCTCCATCCCATTCCCTGCGCTTTCCTTCCTGGTCGCTGTGCCTGGAAAGGAGGCGCTGGTATCGGTTGCCCGGAGAAGCTGTGGATGCCTCATCCCTGGGAGTGCCCAAGGCCAGGCTGGATGAGGCTTGGAGCAACCTGGGCTATGGAAGGGGTCCCTGCCCGTGGCAGCGGGGGGAACAAAGGGTCGCCAAAGGTCCCTTCCCACCCAAACCACTCTGATTCCGCCCGCGCAGTTTGGAAAACACACCTTTCCTGGAAAGCAGGAACCGTGGAGAGCTGGAGGGGTGGGCTTAGCACAGGAGGGGTTGGCAGGGCCAGCAGAGGCCTTGGGGGTGGTTTGGGCTCTCCTGGAAAGGGCTTTAGGCCTTCGAGGAGCTTCGTGATCAACATTTTGGGATGGGGTCTCCTTCCTTTCCCCAACACAGACCTGCCTGCGTGGTCTCGTTTTCCATTGAGGTGACCTGGCCTCTCCGGGTGGGCGTGAAGCCCGGGATTTCCAAGGGAATGATGAGGTGGGGGTGGCGGGATGGAGCCCGGGATAT